AAAAGGGCATCTGACAAAGGCTCACACCGTCATTGGGATTTTCGAGGCAGCATAAGCCAGTCCCTCTACGCCTTGAGATTTTAGTACAACAGATATGCACCACTTGACCCTCGCTAATGAGCAATCCTTTTCTTACAACATGTAACTATCATCTATAGCCAGTGCGAACCCGTCTACAGTGTTTGAACAGCGGCTTGATAGAACGTGAGGGACATTCTTTCTGGTCCAAGCACGGGGAGAGGTCTTCTACGGCTTTGAGTATCCAACCTCACAAAAAAAACAGAAATTCTGTTCTTGTGGCCTGGGGCCGGTTTCTCAGAGAAGTCGTGATATATGGGTGTATGCAATCATTGCAAAGGCTTCCCATGAGACTTAGGGAGCAAGAAATAATAGCCAAAAGGCGGGAAATGTATGTTCAAAAGAGAAATTGAAAGAGGCAACGTTTTCAGAAATAGAAAGATAAAACAGAAGACATGTGTTGCCCATTAGGTTAGCTACTTATTACTGTGTCGAAACTCTGATCCTCAAACCCCAAGCAAAATGCTAAGTTGGCTTTAAAAATACAGCGAATTTACGATGTTTCTGGTTCTAAATCCAGTTTTGCTTTCATTTAAATAAACGACGTCCAGACTCGTTGGGCAGTCACTGCACAAGCTAAATTCCATTTGTTTAGAAAGGGCGTGGGTGCAATAGAAGCAGCCGGAGACCCTGCGAACACTCTAGGTATTCTACCCACCCACATATTCTTTTGAACACTTATTCGTGATTTGTCGGCATTCTTGCGTAATACACTGCCAGCTGAATGACAAAGCTTCTGGTGCGCCAAGTTTGTTCCGAGTGAAATTTGCCTTGAAGTGGGACATCTTACCAGCCAAGGTAGCTCTGGGCTAAGAAGACGACAATTTCCAAAACCTACTAGGTGCTTGTTTATCCCAGTGTCTTCCTTCTTTGAGAAATATCCAAACTACAAGGAAACTGGTTTTGGAAAAAACGAGAGGCTGAAAAAGTGGCATTTATTAGAATTAGAAGTTACTGTTCGCTCACCAGTTAATATAAAACAAGTGAATAGTACTGTGACTTTTTAATGGTTAGGTTTTAGTAACCATCTTCACAAGTTAGCCTGACATGAGCAAAATAATTTTGCACATAAAGAGAAGCACGCTTAATGAGAAAGCTATAGTTTCGTTGACGGCTGATTACAATAACCTTAGCGGCAAATGCTTCAGATAAGGGAGAAATTCAGTTAACTTTTTTCCTCTGTTCTGATTTCACTCGGTTAAGTTGACAGCTCCAGAAAACTCGGTCCATTATTTGAAATTTTGGGGGTGAGTCGGGAAGGGCCTTTTTGGCAAATTTTTGGCCAAAGCATACTGTAGGGTTTGCGGTACTAATATCAGTAAAAGTATATCCTGTGGGACGTGCAGTATGGGGTTGAGCAAACTATGCATTGAACTGATGTATGAAGAGGGAAACCTCAACTCCGAGGCAAAAAGGGCATTCTGACTATACGTTTTGCAAAGGTAGACTGAACGAGCAGACAAGGCAAGGAAGAAACCTGGAATCTAGCGTACTTATTATACTAGGGAAACGTACGAAGTCTGGACCAGTTGCACTGCGAGAAGGATGTAAGCCTACAAGGGCTATAAGCTTAAAAAAAGTGCTACGGCGTTCAGAATCCAGATCAGAAGAAGTCTAACGGATGATGAATCAGTTAAATACTAGGTAATGCGATAAAACTTTGTGCCTTGTGTGCGAGTCTTGACCGTGCTAGCGCCTACCGCGCCTTGAAAAGCATTCACCATTGTTTGTCCCTTCTTCGGTTGTTGATCTTTAGACGCGTGTTTCCATATCAAAATCTTTACATATTTTTGGATTCATCTCATTAAACTGAAACTGTTCTTGGCATGATTTCGAATGATATGTTTCTCTCTTTCCCCCCATATTATCCTGTTATTTTTTTGCATTCACCGCTTGCATTCACTTTTTATGTTTGTGACCATGCTCTTCAAAAGTAAACGATAAAATAAATGATAATATGAGTACAAAAAGAGCCCAAGAAGACAGACAGGACTAGTGTAATGTGAAGGATAAAATATCGCTCATTTTAGGCTTCCCTTAACTGTGCATAAAGGGAAGATGAAAAAGAAAGCGAATGGATACGTAATTTATTTCGAATATACGGAGAAGCGTCGGTGTGGATTCAAGCGGGGGACCCGCAAAAACCCACGAAGTAGAACAGTGAAAATGCACTGTAGAGCAGTGAGTCAGTTGCCTGTCCAGTTTCGAAGGCGCAAAGATGTCACTGTAACGACCATTTCGATTTTGAGCAACGAGCACCAACGTTAGCGATGAAACCGGCAAAACTCCGAATGAATGGCTAGGCAAATGTGCTGTACTATAAAAATTAGCGTAGTTACACGGACAAAAAATTACAAATCTCAACGGTTTTCGACAAACGGCGAGGCAATCCAAATGTAATGGGTCAAAATCGCACAGTCGACGAGAAACCGCGTGGAGCTGAAACGGGACGTAAATGGGCGGATGATAGCGAACACACAAACGACGAGGGATACACGGAAACGGGAGATGTTCTGTCAACCGGCACGCGATCCAAACACACAACTAAGAACAACACTGACGGAACACGAACATAAATTCCAAAACAACGATAGGGGCGGCGTCCCCACGAACGGGCGAAAAACGAGAACGGATGTGTGTACAAGTCCGAACCGACGAGCGTCAGCCTGGCAAAACAAGTCAACAGAAAAAGGATTGTCATTGATGAAGGTCACGTGTTCCTTTTTCATATCGAGGTCCAGGGAATGGAAATCTACCTGGGAAAGAAAAAAATAGAGAGAAATATCTTAGGCGCGCATTTAAAATCATCAGGAGAGTTTCGGTTCTGTTACACAAACAACAAGCAAAGCCGATATGGAGCAACAGTCAACGCACACTCACGCATTAAAACAAATTTATAGCTGACCAGGGTTTTGGTATAAAAATAGTGCAACAGAAGCGGTAGAAACCATTTACGCGCCAAGGAAAACGGTAAATACGAATGTCTTGTCAAACTGACCGAGTTCAATTGCACCAGTCCAAAAAGGGTGGTCCATTTGAATTGTTGACTGGGAAGGCAGTCATTCAGGATAGGAGGCAATTTTAAAGATACACGGAGTTGCAAATCCTCCGGCCAAAATTCCTCTGACGGTCAGTAAGGGAACAGGCAGGTTATCAGGGATCTCTACTCCAAAAACATGCAACTTTAGCCACCGACCTGAATGGTCTGAACTCACTCCTGCCGCAAAAGCCGGTTTCAACGGTACACGCGCCCACCCACGATATCACGGTCAGCTAAAAACCAGTTGTTATAATACCAGCCTATTGTGATATACAGAGAGCATTCCTAAACCCGCGTACCCTCATTAGGGTTTGTCCTCCCCTTCCAACGAACCTAGGCTCCCATCATCGCGCTTAATGGCACCGGAGCTGGTGCGAAGCGAAACCGTTCTCACAAGGCCTTCTGCATCCGTTTGACATTCCGCGACGATGCTCAATTACCATCTTCCTCTAGAAAGATTTTCGGACACTACCATAACGACATCACCCGTTCTGAGGTTTCTATTCCGACTTAACCACTTATGGCGAAACCGAAGCTTTGGAATGTATTCTTTATTCCACCTGCTCCAGAGAACATCCTATAAATAATTCACCTGTTTCCAGCGTCGCAGTGTGATGGGATACCTGCGTTTGCTTCGTGTGGCAAGAGGTGATTCGAAGTCATAGCCAATGCGTCACGGCAGTCTGAACTTAAAGATATTAAAGGCCGAACGTTTAGAATACATTTCACCTCGACGGAAAAGGTTGACAAACAATCGTCAGATAAAGTTTGTTCTTGGATGAGCACACTTCCCGATGGCTAGCAAGTGGGGGGTTAAAATGCCACTGAATACCCCGAGCCAATAGTTGGTTGTTGATTTTCGCTCGGTCCCAAAGCGATACGTGCTCCCTGAGTTCCCTAACGGCGCCAACGAAGTTGGAACCGTTGTCGCTGTAAATATCCGAAAGTCTCCCTCTTCGACCAACAAATCTGAATAACGCCAAAATGAAAGAATCGGCAGTCAATGAGTGCACCACTTCGAGGTGAACTGCTCGGACATGCATGTATGAAAAATGCAGCCGCATTTGTTTTCCATGCTGCGACCGTGCTCCACCAAAAATGGTCCAAAGTAATCAACACCAACAGCCTCGAAATATTTTCTACCCTTTGCAGATCGCACTGGTGGTAACGGAACCGTCATCTGCTGACATATGATACTCGACCCATTTCTGCTCTGAATACACTTATGGAGGACACACTTCACCGCCTGACTCCCAAGAATTATCCAAATATTTTGCCTAATAACGCCAAGGACACGGGAAGCGCCGGAATGAGCTTCTGCCTCATGATAGTGTCGAAAGAGTAGATCAGTAATGGGGTGTTTATTGGGTAAGATAGTGGGGTGCTTCAGGGAAAACGCACAACTGGAATACTGGAGCGGTCCACCAACACAAAGAACACCGTCTAGAACAATGAGATAAAGCTTACTTAGTGCTGAGACCCTAGTCGGCTTCCAATGAGTGTCCGTTTTTAAACGACCTAACTCACCACTGCATAATTCCGCTTGGACCTGACTGATAACGACCATTTGAGCTTCTGTCAATTCTTTCACTTGTAGATGACTGGCAATCGACAAGACGATAGGCCTTCCAAATTTGTGCACAAGGTGGCACATGAAACGCTTCAACCACGCAACCGGTTTCAACGGCCGATTCAAGGGCCAAAGATGGCATATTAATCTTTGGTTTGTTGATAAACTATGGTCCATACGTCCGGCGACTCAAGCCGCCTACTCCTTTAGTAAACCTGGATGATAGGTAGGCAGGGCTTTGTGACGATTTCACGTGCTTTCATTCGTTCTGCAACGAGTATTCTTGGGTACTGGCAGGCCGATTGGCCATGAATGTACGAAATCTCGCGGTTTGATTATCGATGTAACAAAGCACTATTTGTGAGTCTGTCCGGAGAGTGGCCGTGGAGAAGTCAGGTAAGATCTCAATAAGTAGCTCGTAAACCCTGGCGGTTAATGCGGCGGCAGCAAGTTCTAACCTCGGAGCGGTAACGGTCTTCAACGTAGCAACTCTGAATTTTCTGGAACTCAAATGGCATGCCACCCGACCATCGTTTGACACTAAACGTGCTTACGCATCAACGCCATAACCTGTTTCTGACGCGTCTGAGAATACACGAAGCTTGAGCATACACACCCACAAAATCGTCAGGGAACAAGCATCCCGGGTACCGCACAACTCAAATCGACTTGACCAAGTCCAGCTGTGAATGCCATCGAATTGAACGATCTTCACTGACTGAAGATTCCCAACCAAGGTCGGCCTTACATAGTTCTTGTAGAATCTGGTTCGCTGTTAAGCATACAGGGGCTACCAAGCCTAGTGGACCGAAAAACGAGCAAACAGTCGCTAGGATTCCTCTTCGTGTTATTGGTTTTTCGGGAATATGAAACCGAAAGCAAAGGGTGTCAGAAGATGGAACCCATTTATTGCCCCACACTCGCTGTGTATCCACCGTCTTTGGAGACATCTCCACTACAGCCTCCATTTGTTCAGATGGCGCGAGCTCTTGCAGTACGGTGGGAATATTTTTCACCCACTTATGAAGTTGAAACGCCCCTCTTGGCAGCAGCTGGGTTATTTCTTGCACAAAACTCCTTGCGTCAGTGACGGAAGTTACTGATTTCAAGAAATCATCTACGTAGAATTTGTTTCCCACGGATGATTTGATTCTGTGGTCGTAATCCCCACTGAAAACAGACACTGTTTGTCTCAAAGCGAAGTTGGTACAGAACTGTGAAGAGACGGCACCGAAGACATGATAGGCCACTTGAATTCAGTAGACCCACTATAAAGGTCATTCTGGAAGAAGCACAGAAATATCAGCGTCCCTCGATCAAGCTTAGGTACATGATCTTGCATGAACATTTCTTTGATATCTGCCGACATGGCAAACCGGTCCCTTTGAACCTTCAAAAAAGCACCTACCAAGTCAGCAGTTGTATCTGGTCCCTGGAGGAGTATGTCGTTCAGTGATCCCCTGTGGTGCTATGCTGCACAGTCAAATACAACGCGCACTTTTGCAGTCTTTCCTGGATTCAATACTGCATGGTGCGGCTGATAGTAATTCACCAGCTCAGGGGGAACTACCACTGCATGGCCATTCTCGAGATTCTGCGACACAACTGCTGCATGTTTTTCGAAGTATTCTGGGTCATGCAGAAAACGTCTTCGCAATGAGTTTAGTCGTGATAGGGCTGCCAATACGTTCTGCTTTCCACTGGAGTGGTACAATAAAATACCCTCTAAAATGTTCCATCCATGTGGCCACCAATTTTACTGTGCGTCTGTCCTCCACCGACGGGGTTTTCCGAAGCGAACCAATGTCCGCAAAGTCAGCATTGTATAAAGCACGGAGTTGACCCCCCACTGGTGGCACTACTGTCAACAGGCAGCTGGCAGCGACTCTTACATGGCCACCTGGACCCAGTGGCCTAGGAATAACACAACCCGGCGATAAATTCACGGCAGAATGTCCTTTTCGACCGTCCAACCGCTGATCTAGTACCCAATAAGCTTCAGGAACTTTGCAGCCACTTATTATACCAACCGATTTAGACGGAATATCCTCAGAGGAAAATTTTTCAAGTAAGGCCAGCGACTTGGAACTTCCAAACGTGAATCCACAACCAACGTTGGGGGGATTTTAGATACTACTGAAGCACATTTCACCAAAACAACTTCATCGCGAATTGGGCATACCTCTAAACTTCCGGATTCACCCACTGCTAAACAAGGTCCATTGATTGTCTGTAGTTCACGTGGCGTCCGATGACTCTCGGCGCCGAGTTAGTACAGCAAGTTATGACATACGATGGTGTTATCAGGCTCATTGTCTTAGAAGGCATACGTAATCAATTCCGCCAGAGTTCCTCTTAGACGAACTGGCTCAAAAGACACAAAGCGCTCGCAGTTGTTAACACGGTGTTTACCACCACAAACTTTACAATTGTTCTCGCTCAATAGTGGGACTTGCTTTGTGCAAACGATTGCATTACACCAAGTAGTTTTGCGCTTGCCTGTTACTGCAACAGAGTGGACGCGTAAACCCGGGTCCCTTTGCGTAACGGTTCCTTCCGGAAGACCGAAACGACCGCTGATCAGTCTGGCCCTTCGAGTTGCAAAACGTGTGAGGTCAGCGAAGATAGACTCTCCAGATCATGGGTAGCTTGGTAAACGAATTCCGCCCACTTGGGTTGTGAAGTATTTGGCAGCTCACTAACCTATCCAATTTCTCCAGAGAACTCAGTTCCGCACTGTAGTTCGTCTGAGTCAGAGCTATTTCGCAACTCTGCATCTTGAAGGCCGACTGAGTCAGATCTCTTGGTGCACACGAGGTAGAACGAAAACATTTTATGAGATCATCGATCAGGACTCTGGCGAACACACGAGACCTTCCGAAATTCTCGTGCGGAATTCGGCGGAATCGTTCGTATCCTTCTGCAGGCGGAGGCATGAGGCAATTTTCGATGGACCCCCGGTCTACACCAAAGTACGCGGTTGCTAATTGCCCGAACCACTTTCCGTCGTCTTTGGTCATGCTCACGACGTAAAGCTCGAAGTGACGCACAAACCGGCAAAAGCTCCTAAGGTGAACATCAAAGTGCATAAGGCCGATTTTTGGTAGATCCAGGTACTCTATAATGAATTTCAGATGAAGGAAGTCACCTAACCCATTATGCTGCAGTTTGCCTGCCCCAAGCCTATGTTGATTTTCAGAATTCATGGGCGATACACTCCTGCAATCTTCGAAATAGCTTCTAATATGCCTTTTTGAGGACTCTGAAAACTCGACCGGTTGCTACGCTCTAACCCGTCTTCGACTCCAGTCAACGATGCTTCCAGCTCAGCTAACCACATCCCGGCTTTAGCCTTCGGGAGTTTCTTCTATGATCAGTTTTCACTGCCTATGACTCAAGCTTGAGTTTCTCTTCTAGTAGTCCCTCTTTAAGCTCTGCCAACGATAGAGCAGCTTTGGGCCCCAAATTCCCTAATCCTAGAAACTGCACTAGCCCTAAAGCTCATCATTGAAAACGAAACTTGTTCAACCTGCCTGATTTTTTCCCGAATTCTTCGTCCCGTTTTGAATTGACCGACATTGACCTGGTGATCCAAAAAACCACGCTTATCCACGTTGAGCACTATAACGACCGTTTCCAGTCTTGAGCAACGAGCATCAACGTTAGCAACGAAACCGGCAAAACTCCGAATAAATGGCTACGCAAATGTGCTGTACTATAAAAATTAGCGTAGTTACGCGGACAAAAATTACAAATCTCAACGGTTTTCGACAAACGGCGAGGCAATCCAAACAACAAGCATAGCCGATATGAAGCAACAGTCAACGCACACTCACGCATTAAAACAAATTTATAGCTGACCAGGGTTTTGGTATAAAAATAGTGCAACAGAAGCGGTAGAAACCATTTACGCGCCAAGGAAAACGGTAAATACGAATGTCTTGTCAAACTGACCGAGTTCAATTGCACCAGTCCAAAAAGGGTGGTCCATTTGAATTGTTGACTGGGAAGGCAGTCCTTCAGGATAGGAGGCAATTTTAATGATATACGGAGTGCAACACCCACCTTTTTCGGGTTGAAAAATAAACCGGAGTTCGTGCATTCGGATAAGAATTTAGTATAATTCACAACAAACCAATTCATGGCGAGTCCTCAGTCCAGGAGTTTTAGAAAACCCGCGGTCTCAAAATGGCGTAAAGTAACTATTAACGGAGAGCGGGACTAAAGCTTGCTAGAAGCTAGTCAAGTTATGCATATGTCAGTGGGCTTGAAAACGGGCCAGAAAGCATGGTCTTTGCGGCACCCAAATTGTGAACGCACTGTCAACAGACTTCCAGCGACCGACAATTGTAGACGCTTGACGCAAACGTGAACAGCTTCATTGTATATATAGTTTGGAGCAGCGTTTTTGGTGAAGTGATTAGCGAAGACTTCAGGCATGTTTTTATCTATTCCACCCAATGCCATATTACGGAGTGAATAATTAAAGCGAATCAGCTAGTGACAATCCCCCTGGTGAACGGAGTAAACAAAGGGTCTTACCATAGGTTATAAAGTCAGTTTTTTACGACCACTGCCTTTTCAGGCGGCTGTCACTTGTCTCACAGCCACGTCCGGAGATTGTAACACTAACGTGCAACACCGTTGACCTTCAAAACAAAATGGAGGGGCTGTGTCTAAGGGCACACTATTAGGGGCAGCTGATGATTTTGGGGGATCTGTTGAACATAGTCAAAAATGGGAGCTATTGCGGTTGAATAGTTTTGGTCAAACAAAGGCTTGTAGGACTGACTAAGTAAGGAGGTGACTGTATGGTTTGCGTCAGGAAGTGTTAGAGTTCAGCTATTTAATCTTTCCACTCAGATCACTACTAACAGCCTTGTGATAGCCTCTAAAGCGTTTGTCGTGTGCCTACAGAGTTGTCTTGCACTGGCCCTCACGAAGATGCCCAACTCTTGACTTTCGCTCCCAATTACCAGATACGTGTGTTACTGCAGAGGAGCTTAGTGTGAGTGGAATACGTTTATGCACAGCAGTAGTCAGGAAGACCGCCAGCGGGGCGGCCTTGGACGACGGGTCATACTATGTGGCACGATAACCCACCCGATTCCGGAATAGCGCCAAACAATGTCTCGCAAGCTGTCCCCATGTGGTGCATAACACGCTGGTAGGCTCAACAACTATCGAGCATTTTGTCCATGTGACCATCGGTTGCAGTCTTGTTTCCCCGGAGTAAGAGGAAGCGCTTGGATAAACACTTACAATGATATGTGCATTTTCCAACTTGTGAGAGTTATAATAATTAATAAATGATCCAATAATGACGATACTAACATGCCTGGTACTAACACAGCAGTGAAGGCAAAGTACGAGGATATGTTTGTGACGCGATACCAAGATGTAGACTGTGGAGGCTGACGCTTTTGAAAAGCCAGGCGGAATCGGCCCGTGCACATTGTTGGTTAAACCAGCAGACTGAAACTGAAATTGCGACTTTTTTCAAGTGATGGGTGACCTTAAACTGTTCAGTTATTATCTAGATCCGGAGAGAGCAAAAATTTCATTGATGGGATGGAGTGGTTATAAATAACGTTGCTCAACATTCGCATAATGAAACTGATTTCTCAAAAGCCGAGGCATTTTCAGGCTAGCCACTTCAAATTTTAGAATGTCCGCATAATGTTTATTCTCATGTATTATTGCAAATTATCTACATAGGTGATTTGTCTATGTGAGCAAACCCTGAATAAACCACCATCAACTGTGAATACGTTGCCTAGTGTAATAAGAAGTCGCGATTTAAGTAAAAGGTTACTCGTTCACATTGGATAGTTTTCCAGCTGAAATAATTTCCTGAACATCCTGGCCCTTGTGGATGCAGAATAATTGGAGGTGCTATTTCTGTAGACAATTGTTGCTCGATAGTTTCTGGTACCATTTGAAGTTGTGTAGTCTACGTTCAATACTGGCGAAAAATCCTGCGCGTTTGTTGTTAAACAGCAGAGCAATCCGTTATAACTTGCGAATTATGTTAGAAATACCATGACGTTGATCAATTATCCACATGGAACCTTCATCAATCCAAGCGGACAGATGATCGAACCTGGCTGACGCAAAAAATGACGGCAGTTGAAGGTGATTTTTGGGTCTGGGCACCTACGCAAAGAAATGCAACATTTTGTAGTAAAAGTTCTTATTTCACTCTCAAATGTTTTGCAGATAAATGCATTTTGCTTCCAGTGCGCGACATAAACAGCAGTTTGCACCCCCTAAATTATGATCTAGACTGAGTAGGTTCACTTTCTTCGTCGTAGAGTCTGAGTTCAAATTTCTGTGTGTGAGTCAAATGTCACTAATTCTGAGCAAGAAACTGATGAAATGAAAATTATTGAATTTGTGGGCAGAAAAAATTGAAAGCTGGACAGATCGCTGAGATGGTGAAATCTGGGAAAATGGCTGAGCGGATCGGTACGGAGACCCAACCTTGGTAGTAATTAATCACGGCAAGGGTTTCTGCGTATTAGCGGGAGAGGTTTTGAGATCGTGAGGCATCAAAATCGGGTGAGACAATGGAATAATTGTGGGTGTGCCATCGAACTGGGTGCACCAGTGCCATGTCACGGTTTCAACAACACGCCTCACTTGCTGGAGAGCCCCGCGACATGGGTATTCCTTGGTGTGCTTTGGCAACCAATGTGCATTCCTGTGGTCATGGTCTTTGGGTTGCTTGAGGGAATCAACGGAGGATGAGTTAAGCTGATGAAGAATTACAAACACTGGTATCCATTTTAAGGTCCTTGGGGATATGTAGCAGAATGGATATCGACCAAAAATGCAGTAACGCACTTAAATCTAGAAAGCGGAAGAAGCAAGGCGAAATCGTTTCAGCTTCCTGAACTTGGTGAGTGGTCAGGCGCATGGGGTTCACCGAAAGAAAAAAACAAGGTTTATTTGGGCCAAAAGCATGTTAGCAAACCATCGGTTAATCCCTACCATAATTAAGGTTGAGCTAGGACTATAAGTTGACTAGCAGCACGAAGGTAATTTGTCACAACTAGATCACAGTGGAACTGTGGAAAGCCAGTAGTGGGAGCACCAATAAGCCAGAGGTGGCGGTGAAAGGGGCACACCATGTTCTCTCGGCTGCCGCCTAGCGTAACTGGCCAGCAGGACCTAACTTAAGAATTCGGCGGCAGTTTAATGCCAAACAATCTGACGTTACAGATAAGTTTGCTTTTCTACCTCTAAGAAAAAATCGGCTGCCCACCTTAAGTGTTAACGATTTGCATTCTGAGACTCAGTTAACGTGTCAATCACCAGACTACCCGAAAAGTTCAAGAATGATTTCGACACTTCAACCGTTTCTAGCACTGTCGCAACAGTTAAAGTGTTCTGAATGAAATGCCTCAAATCAAACAAAGAATGTTGAATTTCATTAAAGTGGCTTAAAGCTCACTTGAAATAACGCAAATCTCCACCTTCGTCAGTAGCTGCTTCGAAGTCTCCATATGGTCATTATCCACTTCACCTGCATCCCCCTTAAGTCTTCATATTCGCCAACGCAAACAAAGCTACCTGTTATCCTACTTTGGCTTGATTCGGCCCTTCTTATCCCTATGGCTAACGGAAATCCTGCTGCCCGCAGAAATCCAAACCCAGTGTCCGATCAACGCGGCAATGATGTCCGTTACAGGACATCGTGCGTACAAATAGCGCGTGATTGCCATATTGAAGCTGATGGCACGCCTGCAACTGTTTTGATCATAATATCGTTAAGACCCTCTCACTCTTCCGGAACCACAATTGAGAACACGGAAAACATTTTACCTGGCCACAACCAACTCTTGGGCGGCTTCGCTGAACTCTTCCCTCGGCCTTAACCACCTCCGCTTTCAGGTGAACTTTCCCGTTGTCCTGCACACAAACTCGATTATTTTCTTTACGGCTGCTGTTCTATCCTACTTGTTGGCGC